TGCCTACTAACTAAAAAGAAAACAATACCTAATGGATTCACTGTGGAATTCTACAGAACCTTTAAGGGTGTTATATCACCTGTACTCCAAGCTCTTCAAAGAAATTGAAAAAGACAGAGTGTTTCCAAACATTCCTGGAATCCAGCATCACTCTGATCCCAAAACCAGAAAAGACCCAACTAAAAAGAAAACTGTGGGCCAATCTAATTAATAAACTTTGAGGCAAAAATCCTCAATAAGATATAAGTGCATAGAATGAATCACATCATCAAAAGGATCATACACCAGGACCAAATAGTTTTCATATCAGAAATGTAAGGATGGTTCAACATATACAAATCAATAAATAAAATACACTGCATAAACAAAAGCAAGGACAAAAATCACATGGTCATGTCAATAGATGCAGAAAAGGCCTTTGACAAAATGCAACACCCCTTTATGATAAGGATCCTGAAGAAAATAAGTACAGAAGGACTATATCTGAATTTGATAAAGGCTGTTATGACAAGCAAATGGCTAATATTATGTTCAATGGGGAAAAATAGAAAACATTCCCTCTAAAATTAGGAACAAGACAAGGCTGCCCACTGTCACAACTTGTATTCAATATTGTACTTGAAATATTAGCCAGAGCAATCAGGCAAGAGACAGAAATAAAAGGGATGCATACAGAAAAGAACTCAAGGGGCTGGGGTTTTAGCGCAGCGGCATAGTGCCTGCCTGGCAAGTGCAAGGTTGTGAGTTCAATTCCCGGTACCAGAAAAAAAAAAAAAAAAGGAGTTTCAGAAAAGAACTCAAATTATCATTGTTTGTAGATGATGTGATAGTCTACATAGACGATCCAAAAAATTCTACCAAAAATCTCTTAGAATCAATAACCAATATTAAAAATGTAGCAAGATAGAAAATTAATACACAAGTCAATAGCACTTATGTACACCAATAATGAGTTATTGAGAAAAAAGTGAAAATAATACCATTTATGGGAGCATCAAGAAAAATACTTATCAATTAACCTAACCAGGATATAAAAGACCTCTACAAAGAAAATTACAGTATTCTGAAAAAGGAAATTGAAGAAGACATCAGAAAATGGAAAGATGTCCCCTGCTCGTGGATAGGAAAAATTAATATAATCAAAATGGCCATGGTCCCAATCCTATTATACAGATTAAATGAAATTCCAATCAAGATACTGATAGTATACTTTACAGAACTAGAGAAAACAGTCCTAAAATTCATACAGAACCAGAAGAGACCTAGAATAGTCAAAGAAATTGGGAAACAAGAAAGCAGGAGGCATCACAACAGACTTGAAACTATACTACAAAGCAACAGTGATGAAAACAGCATGCTACTGGCACAAAAACCAGACCTGTGGATCAATGAAACAGAACAGAGGATGCAGAAACATCCCCAGACACACTCAGCTATTGATCTTCAACAAAGGGGCCAAAAGCATACGATGGAGGAAAGACAGCAAACAAATGGTGCTGGGGAAACTGGACATCTGCAGAAGACTGAAGCAGGACTCACATATCTCACCACGTATTCAACTGAAACAAAAGTGGCTTAAATAGCTAAACATTACAACAGAAAAAGTGACCCTAATGAAAACAAAACTGGTAAAACACTTGAAGTCATGGGGGTAAGAAAGGATTTTTAAAATAAATCTCCAACAGTACAAGAAATAAGAATCAACCAATGGGATTGCATCAAATTAAAAAGCTTCTGAACAGCAAGGAATCAGTTAGTAGAATGAAGAGACAACAAACAGAAAGGAAGTTTTTTTTTACTAGGTACTCATCAGACAGAGGACTAACACCTAGAATATATAAAGAACTCAAAAAATTAGATAACCTAAAATAGAAGACCCAATCAAGACATGGGGAAGTGAAATGAACAGACACTTCTCAGGAGAACTACAAATGGACAACGAATATGTGAAAAAAATGGTCAATATCTTTGACCATTGGATAAATGCAAATTAAAACACTTTACACCAGAAAGAATGGTAATTATTAAGAAGTCAAAGAATAGCAAGTGTCGACAAGGCTGTGGTGAAAAGGAGCCATCCTGCATCTTTGATGGGAATGTAAACATGTACAAACATCATGGAAATCAGTATGGAGATTTCTCAAAGAACTGAAATTAGATATCCAACATGCTCCAGTTATTCCTCTTCTAGGTATCTTCCCCAAAGAGTGAAGGATGTCATATTACAGAATATGTGCTTACAGATGTTTATAGCAGCACAATTCATAATAGCTGAATCCTAGAAGCAGCCTGTACACCCATCAACAAATGAATGTGTAAAGAAATTGTGGTATCTGTAAATAATGTGATACTATTCAGCTATGAGGAAGGATAAATTGGAGACATTTATAGGAAATGGATTCATCTAGAAAATATAAAACTGATGAAACAGTCATACAAGCTTAAATACTGAATGGTGGTTTTCATTTGAGTAAGGCAAAGTGCAATGAAAAACAATCATAAAAGATGGATAGAAGGAAATAAGATAGAACTCTTTCTTACAAATGCGAAGGGGTCCATGAGACCAAGCATGAGAGGAGAGGGGGATAAGGGAGGGGATGTAAGTAGAATTAAGATGTGCCATATACATCAGCCTGATAACCTCAACAAAAGTAAACACCAAATGAACATATAATAATAACAACAAGGTTGGAAATGGGGACCTTCTCTTTAGAGCTGGAGGGAGGAAGGTAGGTAGGAAGGGGAAGGGGACTAAAAGAAGGGAGCGGGATTCTGTCCATGTACCGCCTCCTCAAGATAAATGTAAACATTACGCACAGCAAACATGTACTAATGAAAGGAAAGAAAACAAAATGTGCAAGGTCAGCATGGCCATATTTCATCAAGCAGACTGAAGAGCAGAGAAAGCTGATTTTCAGAGATTAAAGCAAATGCCCAGGGCAGAGCTTCAGGGAGACACTTAGCAAGCTTTATCCTTCAGGTTCCAATGCACAATTCTTCCTTGAGTTCTGGTGTCTCCTGGCCCTTGGGTTCAATAAAAAATTCCTCCACCCATTTAATGAATGAATTGGTTGCTCTGGGTCATTCACTTGATTTGCCATATGGGGCTGATGGGTCTGCGATGGCAGGGAGTGCACTGGGAGTGTGTCTCCCCCCACACGTACAGTGAGTGTTTGGGTCCTTTATTCATCCTTTCACTCATTCATTCTCAAATTTCTGTGTAGTGTACATTGTTAGCAGCTGCACGTTGAATAAAACAGCCTTTGTGCTCACCCCAATAATTTATTTGTCTTGATTCTTTACTTTTAAGGTGGTTGGTTGTGGGTAGGGCTTAGACTCCAACATGCTAAAATTCTCTTTTTAGTTTGTAGGATTGGGGGGACTCAAAACCTAACCTTAGCTTATGTAGCATTGATAGGGACAAAAGTTCTCAGTGAGCTAGAGTGTTACACGTGTGATTTTCACAGGTTGTACATAGTACGCATTAATTGAGTTAATCAGCTGTATTTGCAGAGACGGTTATTAAATATGCGCCTTAGAAAGGAAACCGTTGGTTTAGAAATAAGTCTGAAAGTTCTTTAGTTTCACCAGAGATATGCTCAACAAATTTTAAATTAGATATGAATTTATTGTATTTATATTTCATTTTTTGAAGTAAATAATTTTTTGTTGTTGTTGTTGTTGTTTGGTTTTCTTCTGGTACCAGGAATTGAACTCATGACATTGCACCTGCCAGGCAGGTGCTTTGCCACTGAGCTAAATCCCCAGCCCCTAAATAATAGTTTTGAGGTTTCCAATATTTTAGGAAAAAAAGATCTTCTTTTGCAATCAAAGGATAAAATCACTTCAAACAATAATTTTGAGTTTTTGAGCACAGGTAACCAAAAACCACCTGAAATGAAATAATCTTCAAGAAATGAGCTCCAGCACCCCCGGGACTGGGCCGGGCCTTGGGTGACTGTGTGTCTGATGAGAATTGGCTGAAATTCCCTATCTCAAATGTCACTGAAACAAGAGAGCCCCAAACCCTCTGTTTAGTAGATGTTCATTTCAAGGGTCCATTATTTTCTTTCCTAGGATGAGACTTAGAATTTATAGCTTTCTAAAGAGAACCCATTAAATGTTCATTGAAGTGAATGGATTAAAAGCTATTGCTTTGTTACCCTGGAATCTAATGTTTCTAATCTCAAGAACAGGTTAACATCTAGGATGATAAAAGATGAGAGACAGAACACATGTAGAGGTCACGTATGCTGATGGTTAAGAGTACAGACTTTTATTTATTTATTTTTTTTGGTTTTTCTCCAGTATCAGGAACCGAACTCATGACCTTGCACTTGCCAGGCGGGCGCTTTTGCCGCTGAGCTAAATCCCCAGCCCTGAGAGAGTACAGACTTTAAACAAGGCATGGAAGTCCACGCCTGTAATCCCAGCACTTGGGAGGCTGAGGCAAGAGGACTGTCATGAGTTCAAGACCCTGTCTCAAAAAAACGAAAGTATAGACTTTGGAGATCTGGTTGATATTTAGCCTTTGAGTGTCTATGGGAAAGTTACTTCAGTCCCTGAATCACATGTATAAAACAAAGGCTAAGGTTTCTTTCTCAAAGGGGAGTAAGAGGATTTAATAAATGACATAAATAAGTGGCCTAGTAATTATCTCACAGTCATTCAACTAATCAGTGCTAGATTCAGGTCCCTTATTACTGTACTTGTTACTTTTTGTGGATTTTAAGATCATTACTAAAGGAAAGCCTCAGTACTGTAGTCTTTGTAATTGGCCACACTCTCTTTTCAGGAGTTGTAGGGATTGACCCAGGGTCTCATGCACGCCAGGAAAGTACTCTACCACTGAACTCCATCCTCAGCCCTGGGCCATGCTGTCTTTCACAACATCTTCAATAAGAGCTTCTCCCACATCCCTCTTTTATGATTGCAATTAAAAGGGGATGTTACTATTAAATCCAAGGAATACCTTAGGAAGCCTTTTAAATTCATCTTACTTGCAGTCTTCGTGGTGGATGTCTTTTAATAATACTTGTTTCTCCAGGTTCCAGTGGGATGTCAAAATACATGGCCCTGGATGCTAGAAGGATTGGAGGAGAAACAAGAATAAACCATTAAAAAAATTTATCATTAAAGTAGGCAGTTAGGCTGATCATTAGTTAGTAAACTTGCTAACTCAGCTCTATACCTTTCAATCATGTCCGTCCAACCTATAGGTTAAATGTGGAGATGAAACAAATAAAGCAGGGTCCCTCCATGAAAGCAAATGCTAACATGTTAGTCTAATTCCTGCTTTCCTCCTTTCCTGCCCAGTTATTATTTAGAAGAAGATAGGCAAAATTAACAATGTATTCACTACAAATATTACTCAAACACAGATTTGGCCTGGGAAATAGAAACTTCATGAAATATTAATTTCATGAAATCTCCTCCAAATATACAAAGTCAGAAAAAATAGTTTTAAAAAAACAAACTGTACCTTTTTAAAGGAAACAGAACACAGGTGGGTACATGACTAGGCAGAGAGATGTGATGAGGAAATGGTGCATGAGTACGAAGTAGGAACAAACAGTGTTTAGCATCATGGAGGACAATGAAATCACCCCCCAACTAGGGAGATTCCACATGTTGCCACTATAAGACAGCGCAGGAGGTATGATAGGAATACGTGATGGATATTTGAATAAAAATTTATTACAGTAAAAGACACATTCCCCCAAATCCCCTTTAAAATACCCTACCTAGCTGAGGTTGCGTGGGAAAGGAGGTTGGGTAATGCTAACAGCAACTTCCATGCTAATGCCATTGAAAAACTAGAATTTATACGAACTCTGAGGATTTGCAAATGGGGAAGCTGGATTAGTCACTGTTAAATAAGTGACTTCGAGGACAATGGCTCTAAGAAGATTTTACTGAATCTTGGGCTGTGGCCATCCAAAAGAGGCAAAGTTCATCAGATGCACAAGTTCACTGTAGGTATAAAAATATTTGAATGGCGTATGTCAAAAGCAGATACACAAATTCATAGATTCTAGGCCTGGATGATAGGGTTTGAAAAAACAACACTCTGGGCAGTCAGGACAGCAGAGAGTAGGCCCAGTGTGGGTGCATGCCAGCAGGCAGGAACAATGGCATGGAAAAGTCTAAAGCAGCAGTAAGAACATGAGCCAGCAGTTGGTAAGTTAGGTGCATCTGCATTGTGCTCCAAGCACAGATGTGTGGAATAGAAGCAGGTAGGCAGGGCTGCCATTCTATATTAAAGGGCTCTGGGAGAACTCCAGCAACAGAAGACCACTCCCAGCCCCCACATCGAGAGGCCAAGATCAGCTGCATACCCAGCCCAAATCCAAATGTAATTGTAGCTGGAGTATACAGCATGTTTCTGGGATCCAGTGTGGATCTACCACAGACCAGTAGACACCAGAGGAATTTTACTACTTTTCTTTCTCTTTGTTTGATTGGTTTTCCTTTTTTCTGTCTCATTGTTTTTTTTCTTTTTTCACTATATAGGTTTCTTACTTTTCTTTTTGTTTTCTGCTATTCATCTTCTTTCTCTCTTTCCTCAGTTATCTGTCTTGATTTTATGATATTTTCATGTAAGATTCTATAATATTTTCATGTTACTTCTTGTTCTGGTTCACTTCAATACTCCTCCACTTTCTCTTTCATTCTTGTGTTCACCTGTTTCCCAAAACTTGAGTGATCATCCTTTGCCCTCCAACCTTGCTTCTACTATATTTGACTTCAGTCATCTCTCTGTCTTGTCCTTATCCCTGTTAAATGCCCCCCACCCCAAAACAACAAGGTAAAATCACTTTGCTGAGGGGAAAATCATTGCTTACAAATTTCTGGAAAGTGTTGGATTTTGTTATATAACTGTAAAATCTGCTCCTATGGCTAAAGGTGCCAGGTTAATAATTATCACAGTTTGTCAGTGGCTAGGCTGTGCTTGATGCTATTGTTATTACCGACTGTACTACTTTATCCAGGATATCATAGCTGTTATAATCATTTTCTCTCCCTTGTGTAACCATATTGTGATTATCTGGTGTTATAACTATTACCATAGTCCAGTAAAAATGGAATGGACACTGATCCAAGTAGAAACTTCTCATCTTTAATGAATTGGGGTGGTGGGTTCTTGGGATAGTCAATAAGACCAAGAACAACCTACATCTAGAAGACATTCCCAAGGAACAGACATTTCCTAGGGAATTCTCAGTACTAGTGATAAAGCTATCAACTATAGGAAGGCTGCAAGCATCAATACAGAAAACAAAATAAAACAGAAAATGACATGATGTAGAAGCAAAATGCAGCCCTGTACCTCCCGCCCACCCAGGACAAATCCAGAACACAACAAAATAGAGGAAGTAGGAAACCATCCACTGGAAACTTCTGAAATGATAGCAGCAGAGGTGAAAAAAGAAAATGGAAGAGGTTATAGGAAAAAAAACTCATGTAGAAAAAGGAAATGATGATAAAAGTGAAAGACATAAGAGCAGACACATATAAAAAGAATAGAGGAGTTTGGAAAATGATGGATGCCATGAATGCCCAAGCTAAGAAAAAATAAAATCCAAGAAACAGATCCAAACAAATATCCAGTAGATTAAAAACGCCACTGAAAGTACATGCAACAGATTGAACAAAGGCCAGGATAGAATATCAGATCTAGAAGACAGGACTGTGGCTAATGACCACAAAAAGGAAGATATCTTAAAAATAGCAAGAGACTATGAACAATCAAGCCAATAGCTGCAAGACGTAGCAAAGAAGAACAACATAAGATTGATTGGAGTCAATGAGAAAGAAGGAGACAGCACAAAAGCTATAAAAATCGCTTCACAGAAATAATGGCAGAAAGCTTCCCAAACATGGATAAAGAATTTGACATATAAATAGATGAAGCATATAGAACTCCAAATAGCCAAAATAAATCTATACTAAGGCATATAATAATCAAGATTCCAGAAATTCAGCACAAGAACAGCATATTAAAAGTGGCTAGAGAAAAGAAACAAATCATTTATAAAGGAAAGCCCATCAGAATCACAGCAGACTGCTCAACACAAACCCTCAAAGCAAGGAGAGTGTGGAGTAAAGTATTTCAAGCCCTGAAAGGAAACAACCTTCAGGCAAAATTGATGTACTCTGCAAAACTATCTTTCAAAATCAATGGAGAAATAAGATATTTCCATGAGAAAGAACATCTGAAGAAATTCACGATGACCAAACCAGCTCTCCAAAATGCTGTGAAGGATATAATAGAAAGAGAAAAATAAAGACCAGATGCACAAAAACACCAACAGAAAGAAATGACCAGGCAGGGAAAACAAATAGAGGAGAAAGACAGAGAACCAACAGCAGGAAAATAATATGAGAAAGATAAGCCAATACATGTCAATTATTATCATCACTGTAAATGGTCACAATTCACCAAACATCATTACTTATGTTGTTCTTCTTTGCTACATCTTGCAGCTGTTGGATTGATTGCTCATAGTCTCTTGCTATTTTTAAGATATCTTCTTTTGTGGTCACCAAACAAAAGAGGCAGACTGGCAGAATGGATCAAGAAGAAAGATCCAACAATATACTGCATATAAGAAACACATATCAAGGGGCTGGGGATTTAGCTCAGTGGCACAGTGCCTGCCTGGCAAGCGCAAAGTCATGAGTTCGATTCCCGGTACCAGAAAAAAAAAAGAAGAAACACATATCAAAAAGAAATGCATAGAGTGAAAGTCAAAAGATGGAAAACAATACTCAATGCCACAGGAACCTAGACAAGAGCTGGGTCACTATTCTATGTGCAGACAATGTGAACTTCAATCCAAGACTGATCAAAATAGATAAAGAAGGTCACTACATACTTGTTAAGGGAAAACTGCCTTAACAAGAAAGGATAGAATCATAACTATATATGCTTCTTGTTAAGAAGGGATTGTTAACCCATCTTAATAGGAAGGAATAACAAGGATAAATATACATGCACTAAATACTGGTGCACCCAAGTACAGAAAACAAATATTAGTGGATATGAATAATCAAATAGGCACTAACACAATTATAATAGGGAACCTTAGTACCCCACTGTCACAATTAGATAGATTAACTAAACCAAAAAATTAACAAAGAAATACTAGAACTGGACCAAACCTATCAATAAATGGACTCAATAGATTTCTACAGAGAAAACATAACATCAGAATATACAGTCTTCTCAGCTGCACATGGGACATTCTCCAAGACAGACCATATACTAGCCCATAGAACATGCTTAAGTAAAGGTAGAGGAATTGAAACTATCCCATGTGTATTATCTGACCAGAGTGCAATGAAAATGGAAATCAACAGCAAAAGAAATCACAAAAACTACATAAACACTTTGAAATTAAACAACTCCCTCCTCAACAACCAATGGGTCCCATAGAAAGTTAAAGAAGAAATTAAACAGTATCTACATTAAACAGTAGTGCTGATACAACATACTATAACTTATGGG